TATCACATGCTTTTATTTTATCCATTGAAGATTAATATCTTAAGTTAGAGCAAATAATATGATTTTAGAATTTTTTTTTGTCTCGCTTGTAAATGAAGTATTATGATATGAAATTTAAGATTTAATTGTAATCAATATATGGTCCAAACTGTATTAAATAAAAAAAAATATATATATATATATATATATATATATATATATACCTATATTTTTTTTTATCAGCTAAGTTATGTTATTGAGGTCTTATTTTCTTCTCATTATAGTTTGGAACATAGATAAAAAGTTATTTAATTCTTTCAGTAATCTTTACCTGAGGGAATTGAATACTGTTTTAAAATAAATCAAACTGCTGGATTTCTTTCTCATATTTTCTTTTATTTTTTAGAATTTAATTTATCAAAATGGTCAGGAGTGGGAGAAAAAGCCAATTTTCTGACAGCAACATAATTAACTTAAAGTATTTAAATCCTCTAATTCGATTTGGAGGGGCTTAGTGGTGTGGGAAACATTTAAAACTGTGAGAAAAAAAATTGTGGTCAACTTACAAATTTTTTATACTCCTAACTCTATTTGGAGAGAACAGAGCCTCTTAAGTTAAGCTCATAGATACATGGGGCAGGGAATATATGTGTAACTCCTTACAGAAAGGGGTAAAAATAAACGAATCAAAATTTTCTGTTTATTAACTATAAAACTACAATAATATACAAAGAAACTTGAAACTTTATTACATTAATTTATTGAAAGAAAAAAGAACATTTTATGATCTTGTTCATCACTTTCCATTATACAAAATTATAAATTGCCTCATCTTCACTTTCTATCTGCTCACAGGAATTGTGGATCTAACACTCAAACGATGTAGAAGCCAAATCAATATAAACATAGATTGTCACCTTCTTAGCTGTCGATCAAGAAATCTTGCTAACTCGTTATGTCTGGTAAAAAAGTTCCTCGGAATCATATCTCTCAAATCAGAATCACTTTCCCATCATGCTCCCAATTTGTTTTCTGAATTAAAATATATATTAGCTGTGATAAGGTTAGGCTGTTTTGATAGATAATTATTTTATCTAGTCCCCACTTTGTGTACTTTACTACTTTCTGGGATTCTTTTTGGTTACTGTCTTTGGTTTGTATTATTCTGTGATCTATATTATTTAGGAGAATGCTTTCAGGTTATGTTATAAACTTTGAATAATCGCTAATATCAAACACATACTAAAGCCTTAAACGTTGCGAATTATTTCAATTAGTACACCAATTGTACCTGATTTGTAAATTTCAGAAAATCTGATTCATTAATCAGGTTCAGCTAATGTCGAAACAATGGTTTCTATCTGCTGATAGAAGTACTCTTTAATTATGAAATAATGCAATTCCTCATAAGACCCCGTGTTCTCCTATATGTAATATCAGACTTCTAAGGTTTATGAAATGGATTTAACATGTATCCTCATCTCTATAATTTATTATTTTCTAATATATAGATAAAGTTTAAGTGCTTCCAATTATCTGGCTATTTTTTTATTTATATTTTTTCTTTGTTTGAATTCAAGCTTTATCATCATCAGTTACAGGTTAAAGTTTAAACTCAAAACTTTCTGTTTTTAATGCATTTGTTTTCTTAGTCCAATATATTTACTATATTTGTTTTATTGTTAAACCTCTAATAGTTAAAGTTTGTTTCTGCTAAAAAATAAAATAGAATAGCTCTTTTCCAGTTTTGTATTGTTCTTCTGTTAGATGGCCAGGTCAGGAACTAAAATGAGGAATTCAGCTATCCTCCTGGCTTCCCCATATTGCTTTATATGCACTTCAGTTGAAGAAGAAAATTATATGTGATTAAAGTATTGAGATTTTCTTTAAAAAATATATATATAAAAGTTCTAACCATATAATTTTTATCCATGCCTTTTTTTTCTACCAGTACTCTTCCACTTTGTCATTGCTTTACCTTTACTATAGCAGCAGATATTTACATAAAAGTTTTCATTATGACATTAATAAAATGTGTGTGTATAAAATCTAATCGTATTAAATAATCAAAATGTGATCTTTATCACTTCCAAACGGTGCTTCCAGTTAACTATTTTTTTCAATTTCCTTGTCATCAAAGTTTTTGAGAAGAAATTAATTTAACAAGTTTTAACTGTTTAGGAAACAGTCCAAAATAAAAATAAATAATTGGATGATAATTTGTCTAAAAATTGTTGAAGGGCGTACGTTTGAGCCTCACAGAATTTGAAATGATACTTATTCAATATGTAATAAGATTGTCCTCACCCTTCCATATTAAACTCCTACTCTTTTTACTAATTCCTTTCTTCTTTTTTTAAATCTCATATCCTAATTATTAAATTTGCATTTTTTTTTCTTATATTTTGTCATTTACATTCCTCAAAAATGCTGTTTGAAGCGATTCATTATGTTTTAAAAACTCATATCATAATACTTTGCTCAGCGCCATGTTCTCATTAATTCTTCTTAGCAATTGTTGTGAAAGGATTATTGTATATGGAACCGTTTCCCATGTGTAATATAGTTAAATTTTAAGTGAAAATTGAAACTGTTGAAGATAGTCGTAATAGTTGCTTATTCAAACAAAAAAAAAAAAAAAAACAATAAAAATTGTAACAAAATAAAATATGTATTGATTTGGATGTTGATAATACTATTTTTTATTAATAAACATTCAGATTATTGATTTGTTCAAAATTGTCAACACATTAATTCATCATATTAATCAGCGTTAGATATTTAATGAGTTTCATCTAATTTGTATTTAGGAAAAGTTTAAGTTTAATATTTATATAAGAATGAAAAAAAAATTTATTAAAAAGCTTCGGATTTGTATATAATAACCAAATGTATGCATATATGAGTACAATATAGTATATATGTGTGTGTATTTATTATGATTAAAAAGAAGGTAAAGGAGAAATGAAACTAGCTATTATATTTAAGAAGCTAAAAATGAATCACTTAAGGATAGGAACTCAATTAAATATACATATAATAACAGATATTGTAATTTGACTTGACTAAAAATAAAAAAATAGAATCATTAAAAAAAATATATATTTTCAAACCAGATATCAGTAAAAGACCTAGATCCATCTATATCATTTAAACATCTGTGGTTTGGTTAACAAGCTATCTTTTATTGCAAAATATCTATATCTGAATCAAAATGATTTAAAATAGCTTAAGTTTTAAATTATTTAAAAATAAAATTGTTAAGATATTGATATTTTTAAATATGCCATATGACCACTCCACATCTACCGAATTGACTGGCATCCATTTAAATACTCCAGTTTAAAATAAGAAAAATATTTTAAAAGTTTCATTCTTAAAACCCCTTAGGATTTTTTCTTTTATTAAAAAAAAATTATTTAAATAAACAAATATACATGAAAACAAAATTAATGAGTGCCCAATGTAATACAAATTAATGAACCATGTTAATTTATTTATGAAACATAAATAAGGAATTTTCAATTTAAATTTAGGAAGCTTAGAGCAAGATATACAAATCCGATCCTAAGTTTCAAACTTTAAATCTATTATAACATTAAAAGTTATTTTATTTACTTTATTAAATTACTTATATCATATTTAAATAATAAATAAAAATACTTTTTGAGAAGGTTCATAATTTCAACAGTTTCATTTATTCACTTATCAGATTATCTTTGTTCTAATGAAATTTTCACTTCCCACGAGTTGATAGGACCATGATTCATTTATTCACTAAATTTAATTTAGTCATTTATAAAGAATAACTATTAGTGAGTAAACTTACTTGTTGATGTCAAAGGTACAGCATCTTGCCATATTTATTAATATATAATATATATCTAGATATATAACTAAGATGCAGTTAAAAATTCTACGCTTAAGTTATATTCTAATAATCACCTATTGTATGATAAGAGCAGTTATGAAATATTAAAAAAATTGGTATTTTCACAAATTCCTTTATGTGACTCATATATTTTCTAAAGCAAAAAAATAATGGATACTTTTATAAACAATATTTTTTGCCATTCAAGGTAAAGTTTATTTATTTTAAGCAAACAGTTTGTAAATAGTTATTTTTCTTATTGTATGATTATTATATTCTTATTATTGTGATAATAATTTAGGCATTTTTTTTTTACATGTATTAATTCAATATTTTTAGTGATTAAGAGAGATCATTAAAAATTAAGAGTGTGTAAAGAACGAGAATGGTTATTGGTTGTGTAATAAATAGTGTTAGTTATAAAACATAAAAAGAGCCAATCTTATATTGAAGTGTAATCTGTGATGTGCTTTGTATAATTATCTGAATTCCATATTTATTAAGATATTTTTTTTTATAATAAAAAATTGCTTTTGTCATTATCCTGAAAATTCTGAAATATAAATTTTATGTTAAAATTATAAGTTTGCGTCCATTATTATTAATTTTTTTTAAATTTATTTATTCAAGATTCTCTAACATACAAATTATATATATAAGCATTAACATTTCTGGGAAAAGATTGCAAAATTTTACAAATTAATTTATATTCTAGATGTTTTTTCTTATTATATTATAATGACATATTTGAAATAAAATAAATAAACAAATTAATAAAATGTTGTATTATTGTAGTAAATTAAGTTTAAAAAAGTTTTATTTAATCTGTGATAAATCAATGTTTTTAATTATCTACCCACAGGGAACTCTCTAAATTAACTACTTACAAATGTGTTATGGTCGAGTGTGAGAAAGGAGAACAAAATGTTTGAATAAGGAACAGGCTGTGATGGGTTAGCTCATTGGGACAACGTCCATCCCAATTCAGTTGAAAAGATATTTTTTATAAAACAATTATAAATTTCTTTTGAACAAGACAATTGTGAAAAAGAAAAAAAATATTGTGTAATTTTATTTTAATAATAATAAGTTTTAATGATGCTATTTATATAATACTTATGTTAGTTATATTTTTCTGAGGAGTATAATTAACGAATTCAAATATAATATAAGTTAATTTATTTGTTTATTTGGCAGAACATACATAATATTTAGTAGTTCACATACATCTTACATGTTTTAATTTACGTTAACTTGGTGCTACCTTCACCATAAAAATAAATAATTCCTGGGTTACAGAGTCCCAAGTTCTCACAAGCATACACATGTTTGTCCAAATACTACGCAGAGATTCCAAACAATATCCTGCTGCGTCATTAATATTTCAAATATATATACTAAATATGACATACACACATACATATTTGTGCACATTTTTTTCCTCATTATTGCCAATGTTTGGTTAATAGCAATTTTCTATAACATTTCTCCTATAATCAGGAGTACGATTAAATCAAAAATATTTTGATTAAAACCGAATTTAACTTTCCAATTTTCTTTTATTTATTTTTTTTTTGACCTAGAACTTAATTATGTAGAGATGGTTGACCGTGATATGATATGAGAAGGAGTTGATCAGGGGTGCGGTCAACTCCTTCTCATATAACTTAAAAATAAATCAGTGGTATATTACAAATTCTAACATTGCAAATGAAAACAGGAATCAGATAAACGAACTGCAGGCACCCATAAATGAATTCTTTGCATATCCACACATTTCAGCAGGGTAAAAATTTATACCATCCGCAATAATTTAGATTTGAACCATTTAGGATTTTTATTTAGGAGAAAAATATAAGTTATAGTAAATTACTGATTCAAAATATTATTTTTAAAGAAAGCATTTACTCAATAAATAACATATATTTTCTTAAATTCATATTTACATTTACCAAATACTGATTCAATTTTAAGCATGTTATCTTTTCTTGATAATTGTCATGCCTCTCCCCGCTGTTTTCTTGATGATTTAATACTTCTGTCAATCCATCATCAAGGTCCAGCGCAGGGACATTTTTAATCGTATTTCCTTCTTGTTAAATGCCGATACTTAACTTAGGTCTATGCTCTCTCTGTATTGTCATTTGGGTATTTGCCCTCTTTGTTGAGGGTCAGAAGAAATACCATCCATCCATCAGAAGAAATATTCTGTTGTAATTATTTTATTATTTATTGAATTTATAGCTCTTCCTTTAAATTCTTACACAAAAATTTTTTTTACTTTTTAGTAAAATAGGATTATTTTAAAGTAGTTTATTAACATTTTTATTAATATTCATCGACTTAAATAATTAAATTTTTTATCTATCTTCTGACAACTTACTATGTCACTGAACACTTCATTATACTGTTTTTGTATTTCTTATTTCACCATGAAAAACAACATTCAAAAACATAAATAAATTATTCTACTATATAAGTGATAATTGTTACCTGTACAGTTTTTTTGTAGATAAACTACTCGCATCCAAATTTCAGTTTTTTTTTTTAATTGCATAAAATGCATTTACAATTGAGTCTCTTATATAACTTATTCTTCCCACTGCTAATATGATCTGTGAGAACTAAGATCTTTGTTTTCCACTAGGAGATAAATACTTTATTGAAAGTAATGCTGCCCTATTACATAGGGTTGCTTTATATACAACATACTAATCAATCCAAATGGACATAACGCTTACATAACAACTACATTATTATATATTTGTTTTTTTCCTTTATAATACTAATGATAAAATATAACTAATACACTACATTAAACTATTGCTATTAGGTAACATATCTATTTTCTATATGGGTGGCCATGATTAACACCCAGCTTTCTGCACATTTGACGTTTTCGGCATTGTCAATCAATGAGGACGAATGTTGCAAAGGAGCTTCCCACTGACAGTTCTATTCCTGGATACCTCCTTGGAGCGTACAAAATCGCTGATGATGTACTAGCGGGGAGCCCAATAATGGCCTTGATACTCCTGCGGATATTTCTATCAATTCCTTCAAAATATGCAGGATATTTCTTTGTAAGGGGTGCTGTATGGAGAGGGTAAGTCCTGGGAACATGTATTGGTTGACAACGTTGATCTTTTGCTCCGATTTAAGAAGGAAAGAGCTTACCAATTTCCTCATTTGGTACTAGCTCTCTTGAGAACGTACACCCTACATAATTTACAGTATCATCACTCTTAGATGATTTAATGACTTCTCCGTTCTCTAGAGAGAGCTTTCTCTGCAGCTCTCCTCCATAGATCCAGTGTACAAGCTCCTCCTAAGAACTTAAGGTCTAATTTTTTCTCCTAGATTTTCTTTCTTAATGTCATTTATTATAGATCTGGAGATTCTTGTGTTATATATCCTCTTCTTATATACCTCGAGGGATGTCTGATGTTCTATAGGCTGAATTATTTAATACACTGTCCTATCAATACAGCCAACCACTAGTCTTATTTCACAAACTTTTCACGGGAAGATCAAATAAATTGATCCGCTATACCACAAACACAGTATTCATAGAAAAATTGGGGGGGGGGAGGAGGATGGGGCAGTTTTTGTAGGAGAGGAAAAGAAATTACATTTCCTATATTATAATACAGGAACCATAGAGAAAAATATATCTAGTAGAATAGTATTATTATAGTATTAACGATATCGAATAACTACTACTGAAATTTACAATATATAGTTTCTATGACAGAAAACAAAGACGTTTTTTAGTTCCATTTTTATTTAAATAGGAACTTAAATAAATAAATAATTCTAATGAAGTAATGTACTTCATCAAGTACCTTGCTCTGGCTTCTCAGCTGTATGACATGTTCTTATATGAGTTTTTAATTGTCCTGAAGTAACTGATTTAAAATAACAATGAGGGCATTGATGAGGTTTCTCACCTGTATGGCGGTACATAATATGCCTTTTCATGTGGACAACAGTTACTGATTTATAATCACAATGAGGACATTGATGAGGCTTCTCATCAGTATGACGAGCCATTATATGTCTTCTCATATGTTGAGCAATCACTGATTTATAGTCACAATGGGGGCATTGATCAGGTTTCTTAACTGTATGATAGCGTTTTATATGTAATTTTAAATTACCAATTGTTACTGATTTATAATCACAATGAGGACATTTATGAGGCTTTTCACCTGGATGACAGCGGGTGACATGTCTATTTATGTTACCAACTTGTACAGCTTTATAATCACAAAGAGGGCATTGATGAGGCTTCTCACCTGTATGATGGTACTTAACATGATCTTTTAAATTACCACCAGTTACTGATTTATAATCGCAATAAGGACATTGAAGAGGCTTTTCACCAGTATGACGTGCCATTATATGCCTTTTCATGCCTTCAGAACTTACTGATTTATAATCACAATGAGGACAGTCTTGGGGCTTCTTAACTGTATGACGATATGTTATATGTTTCTGCAAAGTAATAATATCTATTGCTTTATAATTGCATTGGGGACATTGATGAGGCTTCTTAACGATATGACGAGCCTTTATATGTCTTTTTAAATGACCAGTTTGTACTGCTTTATAATCACAATGAGGACATCGATGAGGCTTCTCACCTGTATGACGGTACATTATATGGCTTTTTAAAATACTACGGTATACTGCTTGGTATTCGCAATGAAAGCACTGAAATGGCTTCTTAGCTGAATGATTGTTCTTTATGTGAGTTTTTAAATTAGTAATTGTCGTAGTTTTATAGCCACAATGAGGACATTGATGAGGCTTCTCACCAGTATGACGGGACATAATATGTGTTTTTAAATTATTTACCCTTACTGCTTTATAATCACAATGGGGACAGTTGTGGAGCTTCTTATCTGTGCGATGAGAGATTACACGTTTCTTCAAATCAATATTTATCTTTTCTTCTAATCCAAACTGATTTACCTCTTGTACCTCACCGATTGTATTGCCTATAAACAATAGACATTATTATAATAATTAAAAAAAAAAAATAGAAATATATTTTCTTTAATATAAAAAAAAACTTTAAATGCTAATTATTTTATAAAACACAATTCTTCAATAAGAATTTATGAAAATTTCCAAGAAGAAACATTTTATAATCTTGATTAAGAGGAGGAACATTTAGCGAAGAGCACAAGAAAATTAATGAAAAGATTGAAAGAACGCGTAAGGCTGGTCTTCAATAGGAAGTTAGACAAATACCCCTTTGATACAAAGAACTCATAAATCATTACAATAAAATACAAAGAAGTTTGACATCATTAAAAAAAAAAAATAGTTAGCTATTTTATTTTGGCATTTTGAGTTGAGATAATAATGATTTGTAAGACTCTATAGGGGAACCCCTCATGAAAAGAAAAGCTGTACTTATAAAAAAAATAATTATGCAGCAGACAAAACTATCATATGATATGGATTTAAGTCCTCACTATTAATATATCGAAGGTTTATTGCAAAAAATCACTAAATACATTTTTGGTGGAACAATATTTTTAAAGTACATTTTTGTGAATTTTTACTATATTTATTGATAGAAAAACATATTAAGTGTATTATTTTCTCATTTCACAGAGAGAAAATTTGTCTCAGTAGACTTAATTTGTGTTTGTAAATACATTTTTCTTTAGTGATTTAATTGAATGAAATGTTATTCAATGATTTTTTGAAATAAACCAACAATACATAAATGTATCTAAATAGAATGTGGAAAATAATATCATTTGTTCAACAAATACACCGAGATGAAGATAATGCAATGCCAAAGCAATGCAATATATAGTCAAGAACGGCATTTAAGCCAGCTCACTCACTTAAAGATTAATAAGATAATTGTTTCTCACCATTATCTGAGTCATAATCTTCTTCTTGTTTCACTTCAACAAGCTGACTAGCTGAAAAGTAAATATTTTAATTATAATAATTAAAGTTAGTATCTCATTAAACAACATTTAAAAGAAATTATTAATTTGAAAATACTGAAAGGTTGTTTGATCCCAAGACTGACAAGCTTATCAATCCGACAAGGCTACTTCGGTATATCAATCCGACAAGACAAGGCTACTTCAGTTTGTCGAGACTTTTGGAATAATGCTCTGATTAAGAGGGGGACACTGATTAGGGCTTACAATAGGTCTTCTTGGCCGCAGACCATTTTGTAACAAAAAAAAAAGAGTTAACCTACTATGCAAGAACAAAATAAATTTCTCTTGGTTCATTTTCTTTTATTAATAATTTCTCTCTTCTAGTTTTATTTTTTTTATTTTTCAAGATTAAATAAAAACTGTTCTGATACTGCATATTTAACAAATAATAGGCTATTAAATATTGAACGCTAGTAACATAATAAAAAATTGAAATGACAGCCATCACCATACATATTGAAAAAAAAAACATGGAAACAATAGTTTACACGATGATGATGATTGAGGGTCTGAAAGATGATAGCGAGCGAAGTCGCCAATAAAATATTATGGAAATGGCAGAATGATAATGTGATGCGAGTTTTTTTTTAAGCGTTAGAACATGTATTAAAGTTTTAATGTTATATAATTATTACGTTTTAACATTGTCATTATAATAAGTCTATTTAATTGCAAAGTTTTATATGGTAATTTTTAGTTCAATCATGTAAATATTTAGACTACTATAAATAATAAATAGTTGTAGAATAATAGTAAATAAGGCATTGAATTGAGTCAATAAAAGTAGAGGCTGCTTTCCACACATACATGAAGGCTTTAAATTACTTTGAAGGTAAGGTATTTATTCTTTTCCATTGGCAACAATAATTCTTTTGTACTTTCACAAATTCCAATACTCCTTGCAAGTATTTTTTCTAAAAAATAAAGTATACGGGTTTCTCTGTCATTTCTAAATTCATAGAGTTTGACATGGAAACCATTACACTACATTTGAGAAAATTCTTGAAATTTAGGCTAGTCGTCTTATATCAAACCTTAACAATTACATTTCATTCGAAAATCTATTTTTCAAACAGTTTTTTTATTACATTCATTTACTTAATTTTTAAGAACCAATTATTTAGTTAAAATTTTCAACTAAAGAATAATTATGTCTCTAGTAACAAAAGATAACAAAAAGTAGGAAGATGATAGAATTAATGTGTTGGTAATTCCAAAGGTTCTACTTAACAAGCAATACAGCATATTACGTACAACTATACTTTCAGTATTAGCCATTATAATTATCACGGAATTCAACTTCAGTCAGATCAGTATGTTAATAAAATAATTTTTAAATAAATCATTTAAATTAAAAATGTCCACGCACCATCATAAATCTGTAATCTTTCCTCTTCTTTGATATTAATCATAGGAACTGCAACAAAAGCTTCTTTGTAAGAAACTTCTTTTCCTTCTACTGAAACTTCAGAAAACAAAAAAATTTAAAAAATCAGATGACAAATTTCATGAAAAATTTATACAGAAAAACGGAATACTTACAAGTAGATTCAGTTTCATCTATTGTTCCTTCTGTCCCAGTAAAAGTTAAGTTATTTGTATCTATAAACAAAAAAACAGCTATAATGAAACACTAACGGATCCAGGATATTTTTTTTTTTTTGGGGGGGGGGGAGAGGGGGCACTTCAGCCCAAAGGATTTTTTTTTTTGTATAAATATATTAGGAAGAAAGAAAGAAACTAACTACCTATATGAAATGGTCTTTAAGGGATTCTAACTGTAATTAGAGGAACAATAATACTTTTAAAGATCATTTTTTTCATAAAACATATTTTACCATTTTTGGGGGGACTTCAGCCCGAAAGACTCTCCCTGTAGATCTGCGCATGTAATGAAATATAATGCATATATTTACAGGATGTCTCAGTTCTTAATGTTATGTCTTCCTTAAGATGTTCACATTTTTTATTCAATAAGAAGAAATTGCTCAAAAACTATTCAAGATAACTAAGTACACCATCGTAAAGTAGACCACGTTTTACTTAAGAAAACAGTAACTGAATTTACTAAGGTCAATGATAAAATGGACTTTCCGGAGGTCTAATACGACTACTGCATTGTTGCATACAAATAGGAAATATAGAGATAAGCTGCTCCGCTCCTGGAGGGAACTGTAACAGCAGCAGTGCAGCGGCCGTTTTAGGCCTCCTAAAAGCCTCTTTTATCGTTGACCTTCATAAATTTAATCACTGTTTTCTTATAAGAATGTTTTTCTACCTAGTCCTGTCATAAATATTGTTACAAGGAAATATATACAAATTTCAACAGAAAAATTAATTTAAAAAAAAAAAACTATTAGAAAATAAAATGTACATTTGTAGAGAGTAAAACAAAAAAGAAATTATTCAAAATGTCTCCCCTTTGCCTTGAGATAGGCATTTAATCCCCGTAGCCAGTCATCAATAGCAGCACGCAGCTCTTCTTGAGGAAAGGCCTAAACTGCACGGATAAGAGATTGTTTGAGGCTTTCCAAGTTAGGGTGTGCTCTGTGGCATGCCATCCTCTCCAGTTCGGACCAAAGCCGATAATCTAGTGGGTTGAGATCAGGGCATCCTGAGGTCCAATCCGAGGCAGAAATGAACTCTGAAAAGTTTTTTTGCAACCACTGTTGAGTGGTTAGCCTTTGTTCTGTCATTCTTCGAAATGCACCCATCCTAAGGTCACTTTTTATTATGCGAGACATTGATCTGACCAAGATTCCCATTTTCCGAAACATAATTTGTTGTTTTCGAATGGGATTTCTTCTGATTCTAGCAGCCACTGCTCTCACTGCATTTGCCGTTTTCACAAAGCGGGGAGGGCCCGGTCAAGGTCTGTCACATACAGATAAGGTCTCATTATATCTATATAGTGCGGTACACGAATATAGGGCTGATACCCAAAGGTTTCAAAGTGTTGATTTCTGACCTACATTTTCCAACTTTATGTAAGGTGATCACAGCTATTCGATTTTCTTTATCACCCCACTCCATGTTAACTGAGTAAAAGGAAAATACAAACTAATTAAGATTATTATTCTGACATGTAAAGAAAATAAATAATACCCAAGGATGTAAAAAAAGTTCAACTTTTGTAACAGTATTAATAGCAGAACTAGGTGTGTTATATATATATATATATATACACACACACATATACATACACACGCACGCACACACACACACACACACACACACACACACACACACACACACACACACAGAGTGTTTCAGGGCTGTGTCCTAACTGAAAATATGAATTAAGGACCTCAAAACAAGAAAAAAATTTCCTATGAAGGTATTCCCGTTAACGATTTGTTTAGATAAGATAATAATAAATTGACTTTGTTTCTCTAACTGGACATAAAATATTGACAATGTAATAACTAATACTGTTTGAAATTAGTCTTGGGTATTCTCACTAAAATTTACCAATTTTTTTTATGCGTTCATGTTGTACTAATAATAATCATGAATATCCCAATATAACAGCATTAGAATTTTTTTGTTTCAAGTGACATTAATGAAAAATTCGATTCAAGCTCGACCCATGAACTTACTTCTTTATGAAAAAGGGTAATTGGAACTTGCAAAAAAAAAACATAACACATATCCTGTACCCTTTAGCCGGTGCTGCTGTGGAAGAAAAATGCCAAACCCTTTCTTAATGCTCAAGAAAATCTAATCAAACAACTTTTAATATGAATGTTGATGTTTATATTTCATTATTTAAGTAGCTGGAACATATATTGACTTATTTATTATAACCTAAATAATCTATAACAATGAAAATCTTTAGACGTGAATATCTCCTGAACAAAGCATTAACAGACATACCCCTTTATAGGGACTTTTTTTCTTGTATTGATATTCTCAATTCATATTTTCAGTTAGGACCCAACTCTGAAATACCCTTTATACCTGATACGTATGTATGAAAAAATTAGCATGCATATATACAGAGGGCAAAAAAAGTATTCGCACACCCCGTTTTTTGGACGAAATGGTTCACTATATTTTTTTGGTTTATTATTTTCAATAATCAACCATTGCGATCGACCAAAAAATTCAAAAACTTAACCCTCTCTCAAAATTTGAGGTTCATGTTTCAGGATGCGTAGAAAGTAGAACGCAAAAAAAGAATAAAAATTTGTTTGTCCGTCCGCCGTTTTTAATTTTTTCCGAATAACTCAAAAAGTATACATTTTTTGTGGATATTGTTATGGTTTTTCAAAAGTTTACTATAAAAAAAAAAATCGTTAAAATTGGACAATTAGGAGCAAAGATAGGGTCTCTATTTTTAAAATGTTTTTTATATGTTATACTCCAAAGGTTATATCCTTTGTTTTGGTTTTTGAATTTCGAATGTATTACTGAAGTAATGCTAGTTTTTTTAGCATATTACTAATGATTAAATAAAAAAGTTTAATCCAATAATTGGAATCACCTTTTATTTATTTTTCTTTGTCACTAGGAAGGTAATGTTACTTTAGATGTATACTTGTTTGGAAATAATAAACCATTGTGAAATAATTTGCAGCATTTTAACTTGAAATAATGGTAGATATCAATTACAAACTTCTGTGTTAATTTTATGTAGTCCCAAAATTTAATACAACTTTTATAACATTAATATTTCAATAATTTGTACACAAAAAAAGTATTCATACACTAGAGCAAGTATTAATAATATTATAATTTTTGTTATCAAAACAGTGTTTTAATGTTCTATTAATAATCCTTAATTAATAAATAAGGATTTAATCCTTAATAAACTTCAGAGAATTAAACGATAAAATCACACAATAAATTGCTTGTTCAGTTCAGTACTAAGGAATATTTCTTGGCAATGGGTTGTAGGTCAAAAGAATTGAATTCTCATCTCAAAGAAGACATTATAAAACATTTTTAACAGGGTTTAAGATTTGCGGAATACTGGAAAAAGTTCGTACTACTTTATATGATACATTATAAAAAAACGGATTAGTGGACAATAAACCTCGCCCAAGGAAAAATGCTTGTTGACAGAGGGAGAATTTCGTGAAATGGTACGTATTGTGGCAAGAAATCGCAAATTAAGAGCTCGAGAGGTTTCGGCAAACATCGCGTTAGCTTATGGAAAATCTTTAACATCTCAAGGAGTGAAGAATCGGCTACATGAAGCTGGCTATAGAGGTAGAGCGGTAAGAAAAAAAAACTTTAATAAACGGGAAAAAAAGACTGGAGTTTGCCCGAGAACATGTAAATAAATCCAACAGTCTTGGGAAAATATCTTGTTTTCAGATCAAAGCAAGTATAATATATTTGGATGTGAAGGAAAAAGATATGTTTGGAGGAAAAGAGGAAAGGTATTTGAACCCTGAAATCTACAACCCATAGTGAATCAGGGAGGGGGCTGTATGAGTGCCAAAGGAGTTGATGAATTATTTTTTATTGAAGAGATTATTAATGCTATCAAATATGTGTATGTGTTTCCATGCAATTTAAATAAAAGTGTACAAAAGTTAGGAATGAAGGACACATATATGTTTCAGCAGGACAATGATCCCAAGCACACGGCCTATAGAACCAAACAATGGCTGCTATATATTGTTCGCAAAAAGCTCAAAACACCTCCACAATCACTGGATCTTAATCCAATTGAAAATTTATGGGTGCTGCTGGAATTAGAAATCCGAAAAAATTCTTGTTCCTCTGGGATAAGCACTTAATAAGCAATCTTAAGAAAGCTTGGGAAGAAATTGGACCAGAGGAGACCAAGAAGACTCAATATGCTGTGATAAAAGCGAAAGGGTACCCTACAAAATACTAAAATTAATTGAGACCGATATTTATTATATTTTTCATACAATGTGAGTTATGAAATTTTACTTTTTTGTACAATTAATGTAAAACAAAATTTCTAATTGTTATTTATAGTTGCTTCATGTTGAAAACATAAATAAAAAGATTTTTGATTACGAAATATATGGTGTATGAATACTTTTTTTGGCCACTCTATATGAGCTACATTGATAACAGGTGAGAACTCATCTCAATAGCTGAAAAATGAGTACATGGGTGATCGCCAATTTGGAGATATAGAGCAAAATTATTACAAATATTTATAAAAATATAACATTTAAAAATTTAGGACATTGAGAACTATACAAAACGATTGCTAATTTTTTCATTACATCTGATTATGTAAAAAAAATTATTAGTAAAGGAACGCATTATTAAATAGATTAATTCTTATCAGAAATGAATTTCCATTACATAATTCCAAAGAAATAATACACTGATGAAAAATAATGTCTCACCATCATAGGCTGGACTTTCCTCTTCTTTGATACTTATTGAGGGAACTGCAACAAAAACTTCTTCATATGGAACTTCTTTTTCATCATCTGAAACTTCAGAACACAGTAAAGCGAAAAAATCAACTCACACTATTTATCATTATATGATAACTACAATAAGGGAAAATAATACTTACAAGTAGGCTCAGTTTCATCTGTCATTTCTTCTTTTATAAAAACGCATGAAGCACTTAGATCTAAAAAAATAAACAATATCATTTATGGTGTTAATACAATATCCACAAATATATTATTACAATAAGCCTCAAAATCTTATTGTAACCAATATAAACTCCTGTCATGCTGAAATACCATGAATGGGGTACTGTTGGATTCAGAATTTCACTTGGGGGAGGAGGGAGTAGCGAACTGTACTCTCCGCTTTAGTATTACTTTCTAAAATAAAGAAATCAATATAAACATAGGCCTCAAAACTGGAATGGTGATAAGTCTGGGTCTTTGATGGAAGACAAATTGGGCTTTGAAGAATTTGACGCGTACACCAAGACCCGGACCTTGCATTTTCAAGCCCGAAAACATACCCTTTTCTAGATAATGCAAGGCAAAGAGTTTGCATCCACACAAACTCATGTTAATTGTAGTGCTGCCATATGATACATGTCTCATTTTGTTGACTTAACGTCCCTATGATCAAGAGAGGAGTTTATATTGTTTATCAAAGGTGCTTTTTTGTCACTAAGCAATATCTTCGTTAATTGTTCATCAAATTCCAAGACTGAGCAACCCATTTTGACTCTTTTTTTTTTTTTTTTTTTTTTTTATAATTTGACTTTAAACAAGAAAAATAGTCCCATCACCCCAAAAATTCAAACAAAAAAGTCATGAAAGAAAAGATACTTTATTTGCAATAACTAAAAAATTACAAACTTTTTTTATACACCATTTTGTTATACACATACACATAATAATTATACACCCTTGGTTATACTCATCATTATTTAACACTTTAACAACCACCATGGGTGTATATGCCTGATCACTGATTTCTCAAGTTCACTGATTTATCCAAGTTTCGCTCAAATAGCTTTGTAGTTAATGTGTTAAAATATTACTAAATTTTCTACAAAAGGAAAAAAATCATTGAAATAGGATTATTATGAGCTAACATACAGCTTATTGAAATTTATAAACATGTTGGTTGGTTCCAAATGTTGATGAAGCTTTAGATTAATTATTGTTTAGTTTGCGATTATAATTAGCAAGAAAATAACAATTGTTTTTGTTATCTTTAGATACGTTGTTTATCATTATTTTATTTTCTTATTAATTCATCATTTTCTCAACACCTAAGTTGTCATCATCTTGTAACTCAGAGACAAGAAGCAGTATCACTCAAAACATTCCTCGTATAGATTCTTATCAAAAACAATTGATGATTGTGGTGGAAACTGAATTTAGTAAAAAAAAAGGATCAAAATTCCTCTTGATATGGAGCTCTTCATTTATAATTTCAGCATCTTAGAAAACAATACAGGTTCTGTTAATAAGTAAAATTCTTATAATTCATATATAGAGAAAAAAGTTGTCCAAATTAAACTATTGCAGAGTGAAAATCATTCCACTGAACAAAAGAATATTCATAATCTGTTGGAGAAAGAACTAAATCTATCCCTTTCATAGTCAGTATAAGATGTCTATGAACACATCCATATCAAAAGTTTAAATTTAAAAAGAATTATAATTAATTTATTTTAAGATAAATTTAAATCTTATAATTTTATCCCATCTTTTATATATTACACTACACAAGGGAGTTTACTAATATAGTTGAAGAGAAAAATAAAAGCTCTTACCAATTTTGTCCATTGTTTCTCAATAAATATATACCAGTTCAACCCGAACAACAAAAACAACTAAGGGACCCCATTAACTCTGACAAGTAAGGTTATAAGAAGGAATGTTTAATTGTTGGAACCGTTATATGGAACCTAATCTGTGAATGAAGCGGTTAAAATTTTCTGGCTTAGGAGTTTCAACTTAAACACGTTCTTTCTGAAGCTGTTATTTGTAACGGTTGTTCCATTAGCATTGGGCAGGTTCAGAAACTCGGCGATAGATTGCAGCGCGTTCATTTTTTTCATACAGTGGCTTAATATTTTAATAGTATTTTTTCATACAGTGGTTTAATAATGCTATTAAGCCATTGTTTGTTTTGCTTTTTTCAAACCAAACAAAAGCTCTTTCTGTTTTCCAACAAACCTATCAGGACATCATGAAAATAACGCAACAGTTTTTTATAGGACATTTTTCAACTATTAAGTTTAGGGATATAATTTTTTTTATTTCTCATTATTAATGAAGGCTAGGAATAAATAAAAACTTTCATTATAGTTACTACGTTACTAAATTAACTTAAGCATATTTGTAGGCAAAATTAGTTTATGTTTTTAGACGTATCTATCTATATTAATGTCTTACAGACCGAAAATAATTTTTATGATTGAACATATTCACATAAATCAATTTAAGTGCATAAATAAAATTAAATACTATTATTATTGAAGGGAAGAATGGTTGGGGTGATCAGTAAAACAAAAAACTTTGTTCTCTTCAATTATTCATTGGAGTCAACCATTAATCCACAATTATAAACACTATTATGTTCTATAAAAATTTAAAAAGGCAAACAGTTGAAAACATTTTTGAACTACAGTTAAAAGACTTAAAATGACCAAGCACCGTAATTTCAAACTAAGAACACTTGATAAAGAAATATGGAAAAAAAATTATAACTAGTTATAACTAATTATAACTTATTATTATAATAAAATTGTTTGAAAAACGAAAAAATTCCTAAGCTCAGCGCTGAGCTCATCGATGGCACCATCTTTATGCTGGGCGAAAGGATGTCATCAATAAGCTCATCGTTGAGAGTTTAGAAACTTGTTCAAAATCACAACCAGATTAATACAAGAAAGTTAAAATATTATTAAAATAAAAAGTGTTCTATACGTAAAAAATAATTTTCAGTTTTAATTAGTTAAAAAGTAATTTTTAAGATTAAGCATTCAGATAATATTAAAAATAAATTAGAAGGTTATCAATTTCAAGCTGGAACAATGCCAAACTTTATACATAAAACGTTTCATTCATTTCCAGACTTGTCATTAAACAAATTGAGTTTGTTTTAAAACGAATAAGCTTGAGGATATGGAGCTGATCCTAGAGATGGGAAATACGATTCTTTTAAACGAATCGATTATCAACGATTTAATCGTTAAATATGTGATATAGAATGTTGTAATATTCACGTAAAATTATGGATAAATATTCTTCTTTATTTAAAAAGTATTTATTTTCTTTCAAATTTGTATGTCGAAACACATAGACTTCCTATCGTATTCGATTCTCTAAATATGAATATACTTGTAGTTACAGGTGTGGTAAAGAATATTGTCATATTTGCATAAAAATATATATAAACATTCTTAATTAAATATTAATATAACGGCAAATTTATTGGTCTGAATACAAATATTTGCATCAAAATACATGGCTTTAAAAATGTATACACTCGTATTTACAGGAGTGATAATAAACACAATAATATTTCCATAAAATTATAATCAGATATTTTTCTTCATTTATTATAAATTAATTTTTACACAAATTAATAATATATATTAAATATGCAAAAATTAATAGTGTCTGAAATCCATGTCCATGCAGTGGCGGATCCAGGATTTTTTTCAGAAGGGGGGCGCACCTCTGTACCAGGTGCTTCTCCCACCCCTACCACTACTAACCCCCACTCCTTAGCTGAGTTTAGCTGCTCAAAAGTCCTCTTGAAATGGTTTTAACATAAGCAAACTCTATTTTTATTTAAAGGAAATTTTGTCTAGTTTACAGTGAAGCAATCGTTAATTACATAAATTAAATAGTTTTTTTTGTTATCACTTCCTAATCAACAAAAAACGTGGCTTAGATGAAAAATCAAAAAACTTTAATTTCCTACTTTTCTGCTGAAAATCGAACCATTGTTTATATAAACTGTTTTTGTATTTATTCAGTTCTGCTATCATTCCTTTAAATATTTCCCTCTACCTAAGAGACACCCTGTATGTGGGTTTAAACATGTAAAAAACTAAATTCTGACACGGGTCACCAAGAGAAAACTTTTTACAGCCTAAAAATTCTGATTCATCTGATCTTTTTTTTTTTTTATGTACTACTACTAAACAGTGCATCAAAGCGAAAAACGTATTCTTTAAGAAATTAAAGAACGTCAAATTGTGCGTCGAACGAGTACCTAAGCTTAATAACTTTATTAAGTGATATGGTCGATAACCACGATCAATGAACGCTTATTTTTATACAAACATTGTCAAAATCTGAGAAAGATTAATATACTCGTAAATGGCCCTGCAGCTTAGAAATGAGTTCTTTAAGAACAAAAACTCAGAATAATTTCTGATTTCAATCAAATCAGAGACCAAATAATTAGTGCCTTCCTTCATAAAAACAATGCATCCAGATCTTCTAGTTGCTTGTGCTCGAATAAAAGGTTATTCGAAAGAATAAATGAAGTTCATTTTTTTTTTTTGTTTTAATAAATTTTCCTTCATCATGTATTTCACCTGCGAGATTCAGTTCGGAGTCAATAGGAACAAATTGCGACAGGAGTAGTAGCCTTCGCATCTTACGGCGGTCCAAAAACTACATCACTCTTTTGTTTGAATTGCTACTTTTTGGGAATTTTTAAAGATTTTTTGTCCACCATCAAGAGGAAGGGTCGTCTTCTTGCAGAATTCACTAGTGCTCCTCAAGATAATATATTTTTTTAATATATTGCCTTAGAAAATTCGTCTATGAGAATGAATTTTCCCTATATTTCTCTTGCACAGGTGCTTAAAATATTAGTTTTCGAAAGAAAGGTCCTTCAGAGGATATTTGGTCCAGTTAAGGAGAACGGTGAACTGAGAATTAGACGCTACAATGAACTAGCTAACTTATACAATGAGCCGAATGTGGTAAAATATATCCGGATCAGGCTGAGATCGGATGGACAAATTGTACGGATGGACGAGACCTCAATCCCAAAGAAGCTGCTGAACATAGAGCCGGTTGGAAAAAGAAAAGTGGACAGACCGAAACTGAGATGGAAAATGCAGTAAGTACTGATGCCAGAATACATGGAATCTGGAACTGGTGGAGGCTGCTCAGGAAAGGAAAACATGGAGGAAATGTCTTGAGGCAGCCAAGATCCAGTCGAGTTCGAGATGATGATATTGATCACATTAGAAAATTCGTGTTAGAGGATGATTTTTCCTATATTTCTCTTTTCTTTAAATAGTAGTTTTTTGGATAGTTAGTGCTGGTCACGATTATAATTTTTTTTTATTTTACATTAGGAGATTCGTGAATCATAATTTATTTTAGCTATATTTCTCTTTTCTTTAAATAAGTGTTTTTGTCACTTTTTTCGAAATTTTTTTTCACCATCTAAGGGAGGGCAGAATTTGCTAGTGCTGGTCACGATAATATATATATTTTTTTATTTTACATTAGGAAATTCATGTATGAGAATGAATTTTCCCTACATTTCTCTTTTCTTTGTAAACATTTCTTCCGTTTTAACGGGGGACTATGTTATTTACACTCGTGAATATTAAAACAAAACTCCGGCACTGGATATAGACTTTTTAACGATGTTTAACTGTTGTCGGGCATTCGGGAATCTAATTCCTTTTGTGACACTGAGTGACAAGAAACAATAAGAATATATATATGAAATGTGGGACTGAGTATATACACTTTGAATGAATTGACTCACCTGTTTTGTTATTCTTCAATTGTGAGGCTTCTGGGACAACTAAATAAATAAATTACTTTTCACTCCTGTCTAACAAAACTATTTATTTTAAAACTGTAATAAGTGAATATATTTACTTATAATTATAGTTAATAAACTGTAGGCTTGATATTCTTTATCTTCAGTGCAGTGGCTCTCTGTTGCGACGACCTCCTTTCTTCCTGCCCAGGCCTAGAGCCCTCTCGCCTCCGTGTCCCAGCCTCAAGTGCCTTCTTCTCTCCCTGGCGCCCTTCTCCAGCTGCTGCTACCTGACCGGACCTTTTTCCTTCTTCATCGATTGCTTATCGATGTAAGACTTTTTAATGAACAACTTGTCCACTGCATAATTGAGTACAATTCACAGTGGAAACTCACATTCTTATATATTCCTTCTCATTCCCTCACACAATGTCACATAAAGGAGTAAATACCGGGGGATGTCTACTACATCTTTAAATATGTATTTTTATCAGTATTTTCGGATTTTTTTTCCAGCATCCATAGGAGGGCGCGCCCCCTGGCAAAATTCGCTAATACTAGTCACGATAATATTTTTTTTTTATATTACATTAGGATATTCATCGTCTATGAGGATTAATTTTCCCTATATTTCTCTTTTTTTTAAATAGCTGCTTTTTGGAACTTTTTTTTGGATTTTTTTTCCTAGTTCCAGGAGGGAGGAGGGGGGGTGCCCCCCGCCTGGATCCACTAGTGTGTCCATTTCCATCCTATACGTGTTTCGCTGACCGGGCTCCCATGAATATAGACGGCATTTTCATCATAGAAAAACCAAATAACATTAAAAACTTCAAAGGAAAAAAACCCCTACAATGCGACTGTTTAATTAATAAAAAAAATATTTTTATAATTAGGTGAATAGTATAATATTCTTTATTACGTCTGTAAATACAACCATATTCGTATTTACAGTAGTGAATAAGATAGCGAATATATGTATTTAGACTAGTGATTTTTAAAGAAAACACATATTTTTTAAATAAAACATGTTTATCTATAATTTTATGTGAATATAACAATATTCTTTATTATATATGTAAATACAATTACTGTGGAATGAGGAGAATTTTGAGCTGTAGCCTCCTGATATGGAAAAATATTTTTTTTTAGATCTATATTTATATCCGTGCTAAGTACTAAAAATATAACAATAAGTATTCTTTTAAATTGTAACGTATATAAAGTTACAAAATGTAAGCACGTGTTAACAAAACATAAATAAATTTCTAATCTCTGAAAGCACCATTGTTTCTGTATTACGTTTCTTAGCCCTAAATTTCCCTCTGATGTAATTACCATTATTAAAATATTTAAAAAAAAAATTTCTTTATATGTAATTCATAAATTCACTGGTGATGAATTTGACAGTACTATTATTAACATCTGTAAATACCACAATATTCCCTTTTATAGGAGTAAATACGGTTGGAAATATGGGTCTAAAATAAAATTATTTAGTAAAATTAATATTTGTTGAAGAAATAAGAATATTCATTCATACGATTATGTGAAATATTTCCCATTCACAAACTACCGTTTTGAGAATCCACATACCAATTGTACCGTAAAACTCATACAACCTATATTTAAATGGTAAAGAATTTATTTTCTTGAAAAAACAGAAATTAAGAAAAATACAACGAAAAACAACGTTTTAAGGATTCTGTGTTCATTAAATTAGTAGCGGCTAATGAATGCCATGAAATTAGTATATGACGAATGTCCATTAAGACAATAGTTTTGTTTTTATTTTTAACCGTCATCTGACAAGCAGGAGAGGAGGACTGTAAGAAATTACGTGATAATTAGTTTCTATTTAATTGCTGTTTTCATTTATTTTATAGATTGATTTGTAAATTTTGCTATTTATTGTTGTTAATTTTTATATCCTTAATTTTTATATGATTATTATATTTAGCCTGATAAAGGAGCTAAACTGGTAGCAAGATAAAAAAAAAAGAATTATATACAGGAGGACGTCTTTTTATTGAATTTTATTCTTAGTTTATTATTATATCTTTTAGATGTTTCCAGAAATGTTCTATTTAGAAGTCTGTATCGTATTTAGTAGGCCGTTTCCTCGGTTAAGTTCCTATCTTTTAAGTTCAGTATGAGGGTTCCACGTTAGTCGTCTGTCTAAGAGAAAGCCAAGATACCGGACTATGTCTGAGAAAGGAAGTGTAATGGTGGACAGGAACTGCGTCGGAATGGGAAGGTAATATTTTGGCATTTGGATTCATTTCCTTTAATACGCCATTTATTACACCAGTGATCAATCAGGGAGAGGTTTCTTTAAAGGTTTAAGGATGCTATATTAGGATCTGAGTGGGATGATATGTCATCAGCAAATGTTGCCAGGAAGGTATCGGGATGGACAGGGATATCGGAGGTAAAGAGGATGTAAAGGACGGGACCCCATTACGATACCTTGTGGAACACCAGCCTCAATTGGATAGCTATTGGAAAATTTAGTGCCTCAGCGAACTCGGAAGGTACGATCTGAAAGGTAGGACCGGAGAACATGGTATGAGGACTGAGGAAGATGGGTTTTAAGTTTGAAAAGAAGCCCGGCGTGTCATACCCGGTCAAAAGCTTGAGCTATGTCCAGAAATGCACCCGAACAATATTGCTTGCTTTCCAGGGCTGCGGAAATATGATCGACCACTCGCAGACCTTGTTGGATTGTGGGGACGGAATCCGAACTGATGTGAAGGAAGATTTTGAGATTCTATAAAGGATAGGATTGTTTTCAGGAAGATCTTTTCAAGGATTTTTGAAAGAATTGGAAATAGGCTAATGGATCTGTAGGAAGTTAAGTTGTTGGGAGGTTTGCCTGGTTTTGGAAATAGGATAATAGTAAAATGTTTCTATAAAAGAGGAAAGTGAGTGGTTTGTAGGATGCTATTATATATGAATGTAATGAATATGACAGTTTTAAGAAGGAGTTGTCTAAGGATCTGAGAGGTAAGGAGTTCGTATCCAGGTGATTTGCGAGTAGGTAGTTTTTGTAAATGATTTTGACCTCAGAAGCATTAACTGCTTTAGGCGGTAAGAGGCGGAGAGTGGGATGGATGAATTAAGGAATTCCTCTACTGCTGAAGTGTGGGTGGAGTTGGATTCCGGATGAGAGGTGAATGTAAGGGAAAGGTGTTTGGCGAATTCCTCGGCTCTATCTTAGTCAGACGCTGCCCAAGAGCCATCACATCGAAGGAGAGGATGTGAAATAAGATGGTGTTTTAGGATTTTTTTAGTGATCTTCCATAAGGAGTTGTCAGGAGCAGAGAGGGAAGTAAGGTAGGAGTTAAAGGAATGGGATCTGAAGGTGACCAATTCCTGCTATAATTGTTTGCAGAAAGAATTATATGGCTGACGATCGGTGAGATGTCTAGTCCGTTGCCATAATAATCTGGCACGACGTTTGGTTAGGTCTATGAGGTGTTAAGGTAACTTATTTTTCTTGGGAGTTCTTTGGAGAGGAAGCAGTCTAGATTGCCTGTTGAATAGTGGAGGTAAAGAAATGTACGGCATTGTCAAGGTCTGCAGGGGTTTTCTGAGTTATTCTGCGGCCAATTTTATCGGTAAGGATTTGGTGAAAGAGTTTCCAGTTAACTGGGCCTCTGATGAAGGACGGTGGAGAAGGCTTAGGAATAGGAGCTAGAGATAATTGGAGTAATAATGGACTATGATCTGAGGAAAGTTCGTCAAGACGGGTAAGGGAATGATTGAGGAGACCTAAGCCACTGTGGATGAAAAAATCAAGGATATCGGGATTGCGATTAGGATATGTGGGCCAGTAGGTAGGTAGGTGAGTTAGGAAGAAGGAGACTGAAACGTAGGAAATTGAGTGCAGATAGCAATGTTATACCACGAAAATTCGTGGTTCTAGAACTCTATTGATGATTTCTAGTTTGGCGTTTAAATCTCCACCCAGGATGAAGTGATGCCCTAAGGAGTTGAAAAGAGAACTGAACTGGATATTGGATATGGATCTGTTAGGAGGGCAATATGTTGATGCTGTGATGACAGGAAAGGAGTAGGTTTTGATTACGATGACGGTGGATTTTAGGAAATCTTGAGTCGGTAATAGGAGCTGGTGCACAATATCAGTACCGGCATATGCTCTACCGTCAGGATGGTCAATACGGTATGTTATGTATTGAAAAGTTTTTAAAAGCTGTTTTCTGGTCAGTCGAGTTTCGTAATTAGTGCTACGTCGATGTTCTTGTCCAGTAGTAAAGCTGTTAACGTGATTTCTAACACCATTCGCATTCCAAAGGATAATGGACATGGGTTTTGGGATGTTTCATTAAGGATGTTTTAAAGGAGGGATGAGGTTAGATATGAGATTTGTGAGGAGTGATATGAGTGGAGTAACTAGGGATTTGAAGAAGGAGGGATATGATGAATTTTTTGTTGATGGTTAGGTACATTAGGATCGATAGGATTTTGAGGTTGGGGTTGAGTTCTTATCTCTAAGTAGCTGGGAAAATAATAAACTATTGTTTTCTATTCTAGAAGATTCTCTCTCTCTTTTTGGTCTTACTGCTTCATCTTGAATCCAGTTTTTCTGGTGTCTGGATTCGAGATTCTTGTAAATTAGGCAGCTTTTGTAGTTCGCTGGGTGTTCCTCCAAGCATAGTGTACACACTGCAGGATCTTGTATGGGTTTGGTGCACTCCACAGATGTGTGCCGTTCACCGCATTTCATGCAATGCAGCAGAAGACACAGCACGATTTCTTGGGATTTACTCTCTTGGGGTATGGTTTCTCTACTTTCACCATTGTGTAATATAATCTTGTGATATCGTCTATTTTTTCGATACCTGATGATGGCTCCAAGTCTATGAACAACAATGGTAGAGATTTTATTTCTTAACCCTGGCTGCACATTGTTCTCCTTTAAGACGTTGGTTACCTGGTACATTGAAACCAAGCGTTAGATATATTTTTTAAAATAATTTGTGTTAAATTTTAAATATAAAAGTGTTTTATTGAATTTAAAACTGAAAAATTATATTTGTTTTTTTTTTAGAAACAAGTTGTATTATTAATAGGGCTGTGAATAAATTGCATTTATTTATAATATAATATTTATGAATTGGTTTAACAATGCATAAAGATAGTTTAATAATTATTTTTTTTTTTTATAAATATTAGTTTGAATTGTGTAAAACTTGTAATAAGAAATAAACATAACATCATAGAGGGAGGTTTTGGTATTTAACTAATTAAGTTATGCTGACAAGAGCTATTCAGTCCATATTATTTTATTTTTTAAAAATAGGTATGTAAATACGAAGTATAAAATGAAAATATTAATGAGCAAGTGTAATTAGGCTGTGATTATTTTATTTGTTAAAGGTTCTTTCTTTTGAAGGGCTGAAATGTTGGTTTAGAAAAAGAAATAAAGTAGGACTGCTGTGATCAAATTGTGTTTTATTATTACTAATAAAGTAAAGTCACAAAATACAAAGTAATATATATTATATATATATAGTTTAATTTTATTTTTGCACACATTCAAGTAGTTTTCTGTGTTGGTAACTTAAAATTTCTAAAATATATTAATTGGTATAATACAAAAATTGAAATTATGTTATGACCTTTCATTAACCATTAATTTTCTGCATGCTATAGATACATTGAGGGTAGTAATTACAACTTTTAAACTTTATGATAGGCTCTTATATGAGTTTTCAACGATGATCGGTAAAATGCTTTGAATTCACAATGAAAACACTGGAGAGGCTTTTCATCTGTACGATGGGCCATAATATGTTTTTCCAAACTTCCATTATATACTGATTTATACTCACAATGAGGACATTGGTGAGGCTTTTTTCGTGTATGACGAGCCATTATATGATTTTTCACATGACCACTATAAACTGATTTATATTCACAATAAGGGCATTGGTGAGGCTTTTCTCCTGTATGACGGGACTTAATATGATCTTTCACACGATTACTCCTAACTGATTTATATTCACAATGAGGACAATGATAAGGCTTTTCACCAGTATGACGAACCATTACATGATTTTTTAAATATGATTTTGTTCTTGATTTATAATCACAATAAGAACATGGATAAGGCCTTTCATCAGTACGATGAACCATTATATGATTTTTTAAAATTGATGCATTTACTGTTTTATAATCACAATAAGAACAATGATAAGGCTTTTCACCAGTATGCTGAACCATTATATGTTTTTTTAAATTTGATGTATTTACTGTTTTATAATCACAATGAGGACATTGGTGAGGCCTTCCACCAGTGGTGCGCAAGGAAAGACTTTCACCAGTGTGCCAGGCCATAATATGTTTTTTCAAACTTTCACCAAATACTGTTTTATATTCACAATGAGAACAATGGTAAGGCTTTTCACCAGTATGACAAGCCATTATATGCTTTTTTAAATATGATTTTGTTATTGATTTATAATCACAATAAGAACAGTGATAAGGCTTTTCACTAGTATGACGACCCATTATATGATTATTTAAACTTGATGCACTTACTGTTTTATAATCACAATAAGAACAATGATAATGATAAGGCTTTTCACCAGTATGATGAACCATTATATGCGCTTTTAAATTTGATGCATATCCTGATTTATGTTCACAATAAGGACATTGGTGAAGCATTTCACCAGAATGACGACCAATTATATGATTTTTTAAATTTGATGCATATACTGATTTATATTCACAATAAGGACATTGGTGAGGCTTTTCACCAGAATGACGACCCATTATATGTTTTTTTAAACTTGATGCATATCCTGATTTATGTTCACAATAAGGACATTGGTGAAGCTTTTCACCAGAATGACGACCCATTATATGACTTCTTAAACTTGATGCATATCCTGATTTATATTCACAATAAGGACATTGGTGAGGCTTTTCACCAGAATGACGACCCATTATATGAGTTTTTAAATCTGTTGCAAATGCTGATTTATAATCACAATGAGGACATTTATGAGGTTTTTTATCTCTATGGAGGACCTTTTTCTGTTTGTCCATAAGTTCAGATGTTTCATATTTTGGATCAGAATGAAAAAATTGATTATGCCATTGATGAGACATTTTATCTACTTTCATCATATCTGATGAATCAGATTGAGAAGACTTCTTATTTTTCTGATGTGATGTTACATGTAACTTTAAATTATCAGCTGATAATCTTACATAACCACCACAATCATGACAGTTATAATAAATCATCTCACTTGTATCGGAAGACATTGAATGAGCTGGATTCTTAAAAGCATTGTATGCATTGGTTGTTATGCGACTTCCACTAATCTCAGTTATTTTGTCGTGGGAATCCATAGTACCTATAAACAAAAAATATTTAACAGAACATTTCTCAAAATTTCACATCTTTAACCAAGTTAATGATAGTAAGGTTCAATTGATATTAATTAACATGATAAGGGATTTTCAGTAAAACAAAAATCATGGGAAGGATATGTTCATGAGCATAATTTAACACAAAAATGAACAGCAATTTAAGTGAGTAAGTTGGAATTTTTTGCGAGAAATTTGTATCTAAATTGTAGCTGACGCCTGTGAGATAACTTCGGCCAAAAAGACAATTCATTGGTAGTGAACATTATGAATTTTGATTTGTTCATTTGAGCTATTTCGGCTTTTGGTAAAGTTGGACTTTTCTGTTAGAATACTGCAATAGCAATTTTTTTAGTTTGAAGTGAAATTCCACAACTATTTGATGCTCTATTGTTTCACTTGTATGTCCAAAAGATGATGATGATACACATGAAAAAAAATCTTTAAAACACAATTGGTCTCATCTCGATCCTTCTACTTCCCACTGTTCCAATTTCTTTAATGACTTTTATTGAACTTGCTATATGAATTTAAAGATCAAAATTCGAATATGGCTATTAGCACTTTTACCCTACTACTGCTTCATGAAATTCTCTTTCATTTGATCCTCATTCATCAAAATCCATCATTCCTGATAGCTGGAAAAAGAATCTATTACCATAACAATGTTATCACTGACTATATCAGTGCTGAAGCATAAGGAGAAAAATAAAAAAAATACCAGTAGCTTTCAGCTTTCTTTTCAGAGTGCCTATGTCACTCCAAAAAGAAAGTCTTCAGCATTAAAGTCAAAATTTTTAGCCAAGCATCCAATAAACTGCTAATTTTATTATTTTAATAACATAACACTGTTATATTAGGCAGACGCATATAACAGGAAAAATCATTACGAATCAATAAAAAATAAAATAAGTAATTTACAGCCACAATCAAAGAAATTACATCACCCAGTAATTTTATTTTATTTTTTAATTTCATCTTATTTACCAGATTGCTATCTGCAAGATCTCCGGATGTTTCTTTGTCAGTTTTGAAATGATACCCTAAAAACTATTGCACCATTAAGCGGTCAAATTATTAGTTTGTGTTATCTCCTTCCAGTTTTTTCTTTCGCTCAATGGTGCCCTTTTTTTTTTTTCCTCAAAACTATGATTACTGTGGTACCCTATTTTTGAAACGTTATTTTAAATTACCACTCTGCGTTGTTTTGTACTCACAATAAAGGCATTGATGATTCTGCTTATCTATATAACAATTTTTTTCCACTCGCTTTTTACCAGTGTGAGGAGACATTATATGTCTTTTTATTTTTAAAGGATATACTGTAGTATGTAAATAGTTGGACAAGTTTAGTAGTTGTTAGTAGTGAAAAATAAAATTAATAATTAATGGATGGAGAATATGTGATAAGTAAACCGTAAAAGTTATATACAATGTCATAAAAGTAATGACTTGCTTGCTACCTAAACTGACACTCCCAACTTACTTCTCAAACATAAAAGCAACATAATAATAAAATTTGATTAAGGAATTAAAGAACCATAATAATTTCACAGAAGTACACTTTACAAGCAAAAACATTATAACAAAATCTGTATTTTAAGTTATCATCATAAAATATCAATTACCTATTTTTCTAAGAATTCAACACTCAACAATATTTGAATGAATTATGTAATTTTTTTTTTATATTTACAAAGAAAAACAAAATAAAAAAAATGACAAAGATGCTAATGGGGGAGACCCATTAGCTTAATAGACATATTAAATAACAATTTCATTTTATATATATTATTTTTAAAGAAAAGACATAATTAATATTAAAAACATAACAGCGATTCAAATCTGAAAGTATTCATATTATAGTATAATGCATATTATACTATCGTATTTGCCAAGTAAGGTCAGTCAATATAGCTTCCTCACCATTTTTATTTGTTAAAAATATCTATATTAAAAATAAAAATTTTCTTATGTGAATATAATCTCTGGAAGAAGCCCATTTCAAAAATTCATTAATCCCTCAACATATAAGGGCTTCATATCCACGAGTTTCTTTTATCAGCAAATACTAAAATGCAAAAAAGTTCCGCATTTGCAGATTGCATATTTGATAATTATTAATTACAAAAAAAAAATTCTAGTGCATATTGAATATGTATCTCGCTACTGTTAGTGCAAATGACGTATGTAAAAATTGAGGAGACACATATTTTACAGGAGAACATAAAAACTAATTATTTCTTTATGATTTATTAGTATAATTTTATATTTTTTTTGCCATCTGATATTTTTCAGAAAAGTAGACTACTTATATCAATTGCAGACTACATAATGTCAAAAATAGAATAAAAATTGAAAAATTTTATAAACAACCTTTGCACTAACAGTAGTGATATATACTTAATAGGTGTTTTTCACTCATAAAATGAATGGAACAAAAAATCCATAGGAAAAATCCAACTTTATGTTTGTTTGGAGTTAATGAGACCAATACTTTTCTTCAATCAGAACAAAACTAATTAAGCTCGAATATAAAAATTTGAGTGAAGTGGACATCATTTTGATATTTAAGGAGAAAATATTGACGAGCTGGTTGACCTCTAGTGGAAATAAACACATTCACAAATAAGACTTTTTTTTTGTTACAAATTCAGAGTAAAAATTACTTTAAATTACATGAAATCTAAGTATTGGCAGTGTCATACCAGTAAGGTTTGGAATCCACCAAACAATACAGTATAAATTAATTTTTTTAATAAAGCCTAAAATTTTATAACCCCATAACAATATTTTAAGAACCTAATTACCACTCCATATGATCAGTGCCTTTCACATTTCACAGCCATTATATTGTTAACAATTATTTATATTAATTTTAATTATTAAATGGAATTCAATGAAATTGATACTAAGTAATTTCTATACTGTTCTCCAAATTTCCTCCAAGTTTGTGTCAAATCGAATGCGCCGTTTTCATACTATATGCGGATCAAATAACACATTTCCTGATCTAAAGCTGAAATTTTTTTTTTCAAGTATTAGATAGAATTTGATAAAATTTATCTTATTTCATTTTACGTACACCAATCCCTAAATTCCCTCCAAATTTCAGCCAAATCGAACTTCGGATTTTAGAGATATAGACGTATCAAGGGAAACATTTTTGTGCATATATAAGAGAAAGCAATAGACAGAATTCAATAAAATTTACCCTACATTACTAGTTTACAAATACCTACCTTTTATTCAATTTTGAGTCAAATCGAACAAGCCTTTTCTGAAATATTGGCATATCTAAAAAAATGCGTTCGTCCGTGCGTAAGCGGAAGTGCTGGTTAGAATTTAATAAAATTGATATGGAACCATCTAGGCACCAACCCGCACAATTCCTGAAAATTTCATGATATTCAGACAAACAGTAGTAGGTGATATGCCCGTTACATCGATTTGAATACAGACAGACACCGAACCAAATTTGATCTCTGTCTGATTGATCTCTTGATGTCTGAAACGTAAAACGCGAGTGGAAGTTTTTGATTCTGAGCACAAACTTTTTTTTACCTCTCGCATGAATACAATGCTTCCCTACCTTTGGTAGTGAGGAAGCAAAAGCAAAATTTCATATAACAATTTTCCTAAATGTTCTAATTTTCTTTTTTTAAATGCCCAGGTAGTCTTTTATGTCAGTAACCTAACATTTTTAAAATATGTCAATTGATATTTTACAAAAAATTTAACTTATGTTATGGTTTAATAATAATAATAAATGTTTTTCATAAAAAACAATAAGCAATGACAGTGAGCTTACACCTATACTATGGAGTGCGGACACCGACTGAAGATCTTACCTAACCCCAGGGTCTGAACCGATCCTAACCTAGCCTCACAGCCCGGACAGGTGAAGAGATGCAAGCACTCGACCGGTACTCACGGAAAGGACATAACCCTGCCATCATAGCTTTCAACCGCTCGTCTATACACTGAACCAGATGACTGGCCTGAACTAAGTCACGACCAGTTGAACACTGGTATCATATAGTGAGCAGTCCCACACGACCATCTCTTAGCACCAATTTGATCAGGTAAGTTTTTCTTATCTGACCTCAGAGCACAATTGGTCTCAGGTTCCGCGATCATTAAGATCGTTACGGCTTAACATCAACTGCCGATAGTGCAAGAGGTTGCCAGCACATCTTAAACCATTAATTTTCTGCATATTATATATAGCATGAGGGCAGTAATCACAGCTTTTAAACTTTATATGACATTTTAACAGTGATTGGAAAAGTGTTTTGAATTCACAATGAAAGCATTGAAGAGGTTTTTGCTCCTTTTTGTTTAGAAATTGTATCATGCTTGGAATGTTCTACATTTAGCTCTTTATAACCACATGGCGGAACTTGATTAGACATTTCACCATTTTTCCCAATTAGAATTTCACATGAAAATTCCTTTACTTCATGTGACATCACAATTTTAATATTTTTTAACGAAGATAGTTTTTGATACAGGTCATAATTACAGTTTTTATCATGACATTAGGTTAAGACTGAACTGAGAAACATTGTTAAAGCTCTTGTAACCTTAATAAGTAAAAATAAACAAAAATATTCAATGGATTCAGCTTTATCAATATAAGAATCAAAAGAAATAGGTGATGCAATTTCTATGACCACGACTGCATAAGATAAATGTTCCTCACCCACATCTGAAATAAGAAGTTCTTCTTCTTGTTTCATAGGAATAAATCCTCCTGCCAACATGGACATTACATTTTAAATTTAACAAGTAAAATAAGAATAAGAATAATAATAAATAAATTTCATAACTAATTATTTGTAATCTTTTTATTTTTCTTTAAGTCAGTTAATCCATATTCTTGCCCAATTCCCTAATCTAAAAAAAAACTAGGTTCCAACTTAAAAGATGAATTCACATTGGCAAAATAACAGCAACAAACAAGGAAAGAACGTCTGCCAAGTAAGGCCAGTATACGTTTAAGCTGCTGCAGGTCAATCTACGTTACAGCATGGTAGCTTATGGCGTGCTTCAGCAGAGTGTAATAAGTAAGGAAATTGATATTGTTTTGATTCAAGGACCTTACTTATTCGAGAACAGGATTAGGGGCTTGGACATGCCTGGGTATAGCATCATTGCAGTGCCTAAACATCCGAGAACCTGTATCTTATTCAAGAATAGAATAAAGCTGATGCTTTTGTGGCTATGGACTGGAGAAGAATGCAGCGATAGAAGCACTGGATACTAATGCTCATCACAGGATCTGGGGTAGTTCCAAAATCAACCAGAGGGGTGAGTCTCTTTTAGAGTATTTTAAGTAGCTTTGACTTTATATAAAACCCAAAACATACAAATAGGGATAGATACTGTATATAGCTTGAGGAAGAAGTCAAATGCTGTTCTAAAGTTATTGGGAATTTCTAGCATTTGGAATGCCTCAACTCCTCATTACCTGAGGTAATTACGAGGTCTTACACGGAGAATAATCTGTCTGTTCCATTAACTTATGAACTTGGCAAGCTAAGAGCTTTAATTAGAAAACTCTTCAATGAATGAATGAAAATAATTTAATTATTTTGGAACTAGCGTCCCTATAGAACAAGTTACAAATACAGAATATATATTAATATTATGGTGTATCCATAAAATACAATTAAATATTTACAGGATGATTAGGAATACAATAAAATTATAGATAATAAAAAGGTGTATAAATATAAAATAAACAGAGAAAGTAAATTAAGTAAACAAAATATCAATAATAATAATAATAAGGCTTAGCGAACCCGAAGGTTCGATGCGGACACCACCAATCGCTTGTTACACACCTCCCTCCACCGTTCGCCGTCCAAACCCAGTCCCTTCAGATTGGCTTTAATGCAATCTTCCCACCTTCGCTTCGGTCTACCCCTCGGACGCTTACCATTCGGCATAACAAATATTAACCTTTTAGGAATTCTCTCGTTACTAAGCCCAACAACTTTACAAGCCCATTTGATTCGCCGCGATGAAATTACCTCAATTATATTACCCGGATACAGCTCACGCAATTCGGCGTTGTGTAACCGCCTGAACTCTCCGGTTAACTCATCCTTCTTCAGCCCGAATATTCTACGCAATACTTTATTTTCAAAAACCTTAAGACGCTGCTCATCCCTTAATGTAAGCGGCCAAGTTTCGCATCCATAAAGGACTGTAGGCAAGATAATTATTTTTATAGATTCTAATTTTTTTAACAAGAGGCGCGAACTAAGTAGTTTTGTCACAGAAAAATAACAAGCATTTCCCGCCTTCAGTCTAACCTTAATCTCTTCTTCAATTTCGTTTTTTCTAGTTATCGTAGAACCTAGATACCTAAATTTATCTACCTGTTCAAACATATTACCATCCATATCGATATCACCAGTAGTATCGCCATTTTTGCAGCTAACCATATATTTTGTTTTATCCACGTTTATTTCGAGTCCTAGTTCTTTCCCGGCTTTCATTAACGTTGTCGTATTTAGTTTTATAGTTTCAACGTCTTCGCTTAACAGTACCAGATCATCAGCATAGCCCAGCACGGATGTTGTCCCGCCCAGATCCAACCCTTTCTCGGTTCGCATTACCTCCCTAATGGCATGTTCTAATGCCAAATTGAACAGGACAGGCGAAAGAGAATCCCCCTGTTTTAAGCCCGAACGAACCTCAAATTTTTCGGACAAATTATTACCGATTCTAACTTTATTGAGTGTCTCCGTCAAGCACATCCTGACTAGATTTACTAGTTTTTTTGGAATCCCCTGCTCGATTAGAATATTATACAATTTCTGGCGGTCAATAGAATCGTAAGCCTTTTTAAAATCTATATACAGCTGGTGAACAATACCGTTATACTCCAATTTTTTCTCTAATATTTGCCGTAAAGAAAATATTTGATCAATAGTCGAACGATTCCGTCTAAATCCGCATTGGTAGTCTCCGATAATTTCCTCGGCGTATTCCGTGATTCGACTGGTTAAGATTAAAGTGAATATTTTATAACATACCGGAAGGAGTGAAATTCCTCGATAGTTATTACAATCCGTCCTCGGACCCTTTTTGTGAATCGGAATAAGAATAGATTCTTTCCATTCTTCAGGTAATTTCTCGTTCACCCAGATCTTTTTAACCAACCGATGTATTTTAGAAACTCCAGCTTCCCCGCATGCCTTAATTAGTTCAGTAGGAATATTATCGATTCCCGCTGCTTTATATGATTTTAATTTTCCGATAGCTACTTCAACTTCCTCTTTACTTGGTCCTTCTATTAACGGTTCAGCACTCTGGTACTCAGAAGGAGGACACAGATCATAATTTCCCGTATTTAAAATATTGTCAAAGTGGTCCTTAAACTTATTCAATATGTCAACCGGATCGGTCAGAATATTGTTATTATCATCCCTAATTCCAGACGTTACGGGCCCTACATATTTACGTGATCTGTTTATACCTTTGTACATGTCTCTTAAGTTATTTTCGATTCTATTAGTTTCTATTTCAATTATTTTATTTTTAAGATACTCCCTTTTTTTATTTTTGAGCAATTTTGTCGTTTCGTTCTTTGAGATTCGGAAGTATTCCAGATTGTCTTCGCTAGGATTATTTAGAGCTTTTAATTTAGCGGCTTTTCTTTTTTCACACATGGTTAAGCAATCTTCATCAAACCAAGGTTTGTTATTCTTATTTTCCTTTTTTCCTAGACACGAGTTACCGACCGCTTTAATATTATCCCTGATCTCTACCCATAACTTGTCAATATCCTCGTGGTCCTCGTCAGGAAGCTCTAAAGCTTCAAACCTATTCTTAACATCTAGCTCGAATTGGTTTCTAATTGATGAATTTTTTAATTTTTCCAAATTAAAATTCTCAAAATCGAAACGGTTTTCTTTTCTCTTTTTTATATTAAGTTTTGTCGAAGTTTCGCGATCACTAATTCATGGTCCGACCCACATTCTGCTCCGCGATAAGACCGTACATTAATTATACTGCTTTGCCAGCTGTGTTGTATCAAAACATGATCGATTTGATTTCGTGTTTGCGAATCCGGTGATGTCCAAGTATATTTATGAATATCCTTATGTTTAAACGTCGTACTTTTAATTATCAGGTTTTTCGAGATGGCAAAGTTTATCAGACGGATCCCATTATCATTACTATATTCGTGCAAACTTTCTTTACCAATCGTCGGAATATAAACTTCTTCCCTTCCTACCTTTGCGTTTGCGTCACCTACAATTATTTTCATGTAGTTTCGCGGTAACAAAATATCAATGAATCAAAGTATTTGGGTGTACTTTGAGATTCTTACAGCTTAGTTTTTTAAGTGCATTTTGTGATCAATTGGATTGGGAATGGAATAGGTGTTTGAAGCGGAGAGATTTGAAAGAGGATAATGATTTTGCGTGTCTAATATCTAAGGATATAGAGTTCCAGAGGGAGACAACTTGAATTAAAAAGGATTTGTAAAAGCAGCAGTTCGATGAGGAGGAGGAAAGAGGTCGGACGCACGGGATCTGGTGGGACGGGATTGAAAGGAGCGTTTGAATTGTAGGATCTGTAGAATATAGGCAGGTCGCCGTGTTGTAATGGCTTGGTATAGGAAGGTAGCCAGAAAATATTGACGGCGGTAAAACAGTTCTAAGCCACTTTAACCTGGTGTAAAACTGGGTAATATGCGTATCCCTTGAGAAACCGAAGATAAATCGGATTGAGCAATTCATTAAATGTTTAAGTTTGGCTTCGAGTTCTCCCGAGAGTCCACCATACACCATGCAGCCATAGTCGAAGTGGGGGAAACAAGAAAGGAGAGCAGGAGTTGACGGGTTTTGAACAAAAGAAGATAACGTAGTTGGTTAAACTGTATATGGCGGGAAATTTGGGAGATGTATAGTTTCCAGGAGAGTTTGATTGAGGGTAACGCCAAGGTTTTTAATAAACAGGGCAAAAAGGGAGGCATGGAGAAAATATCTGCAGTGATATAAATGATAATTCATCCACGTCTAGAGTTTATAAAATTTTATATAAACAGACGGATGAATTGGTTATGGGCACGGTCACGGTTGAAGGAGGCCTCACATATTATGGAGAGGAGACTCTGGAAGCTCTGGCGCGTGTATACTTTCTTGGCTGCCAAATGTTGGAGAAGTACATAGCTAATTCCGCTATGGACAGTCAAAGTAGCGGCGAGGATAAGTGTGTTGAGGCAAATAGAATAGTAAGTTCTATGAGAGTTGAATGGGCAATTAGTTCATTTGCATGGTTTGAATCAGCTGTTATCGATGAGATTTTCTCAGCCCTTTTGCAAAAGGGCCTATCTGCAATTAAACGCTACCTACTGGAGTAATTTAGGGGAAGTTTAGCACTTGCCTATATCCCTAATAGGTGGAGGGAGGCCAGAGTTCATTACAAACCTAAGCCTTGGAAAGTGACTTATGACAATCCCAAAGCATACAGACCTGTATTAGACCTGGGCATTCTTGAAATAATTTATTTCTTAAATAAATCATATGATTATTTCATGAATGAATAATTTCTGAAATAATGGTTATTTCTGAAATAATATTTCAAATTTCCAATGAAATAATCTCGATGAAATAATTACTAAATTTATTTCTGAAATATTTATATCATAATTATCATTTCAGATTTACTTTCTTCATAAATAAATTATTTAAAAAAACATGAAATAATTATTTCAGAAATAACTGTTCTGAAATAACATAAAAAATCCAACAATATAAAAAATATATATTTAAATATATAGCATAACAACCGATGAAGCTCTAATCTGCCAGTGACTGTGACTATAGGGTGCATGTTTCGCCCAATACCGATCGGTATCCAGCTCAAAGAGGCTGAGTGTGACTGACCACCTTAATATTTATTTAGTCTCCACTGTCATAATCCTTTTTTTTGTCCAAAGTGGCTACGGATTTTTTACATTGGCTAACAGTTTAAGCTAGTTAAAATATTGTAGAGGCTGACAACCATTTCCTTTTTTTTCTTTGCATCTTCCGTTTTCTGCAATTAGATGGAATTGAGGCATTATATTTACCCCTGTTCAAGACACTTTAATCTTTATAGAGGCTGATTGTGCCTAACAGTAATTTCATTTTTACTTTCCTACCTATATTAGGTAAGGAAAGTATTGCAATCGGATAAAATTTCTGATATGCGGTTTTCGACGGATCTATACATTTCAGAGCCCTTGAGTCCGAAAAACACATTTTTAGCCATTGGTCTGTCTGTGCCAAGATTTTCACGGGAATTAGTGAACTGATTTTGTTGCTTCTGTTTTATTTTGTGGGTTTTTGACTACTGATGCCTGTGACACAAATTGGGTGCTCCATGCGGATCTATACATTTCAGAGCCCCTTGAGTCTGAAAAATCACCGTTTAGCTTGTTTTTTTTAAGGTAATGAAATTTCCTACAAAACTATATAAAAATCCAGGTAATGAGAAAGCTGATAGCCTTGCTAGGGCTATCTGTGGGATTAGCCTCAGCTGTGCCAAAAGGCAGATAAAGACAGTTCCTGGCAACAAGACTAAGCTCTATTGGGAACAGAATAGGAAACAAAGCCGCTCTAGATTGTTCCTAGAAGGACTGTGTCACAAGAGAAGTATATCACTTCTTCTAACGGACAAGAGCACCATTAGGTGTGTGACAGGACTGTAAAACTGTTCGGCTTAAGTGAGACTCCCGCCTGCAACGTGTATGGCTTGGAGGATGAGACTGCCTATCACATTATACGCAGAGGTGATAACGGCCAGATTACGATAGTTTCACTTTCATGAAAATGGAATGACAAGTAGGTGATATTCCCGTTACATTGATTTGACTACCAAACAATACTTGATATTTGATGATTGAAATGTAAAATGAGAGTGGAAATTTTTGATTCTCAGCACAAATTTTTTTTTTACTTCTCGCATGAATACAAAGCTTTCCCACCTTCAGGTGTGAGGAAGCAAAATAACAAATCTTGGTAGGCAATATTATAAAGCTAAATAAACAAAATATAATCACTACAGTGAAAAATGTGTATAATAAGTTATTAATTCAATAGAGGTGGCTTTTTGAGCAAAATTGTGCCAGTATGGTCTAAAGTATTTCTAAGTAAACACTTTAATATAAAATGGGACATCACATTGCAAAACTCAAAACAAGCTTGGACTCGTTTCTCACTGCGGAAGAACAACTGGGTAAATGAGATTTCTGAAAGGAAGACTGGATCTGCTGAAAAACGTAGATGAGTAGTTAAAGCTGTAAAAGATGAAAAGCTCCTTTCACAGAGAGGTAAATCTTAGCTAAATTGAGATATAAAGTTGTGATCAAGATATTTTTCATACTGGGCACTTGACATGAAGCCATCATCGCTGTCAGTGCCAATATATTTAAAAATAAGTCTTAACGAATCAAAGAGTATTAGAATGAACAAAGTACTTTTTATATAATTCATAATCCCCAATTCATTTCTAATAGAGATGAAGCGGATTCCTTACTGTTCCTGAAAACAGGGAAAGTCATTCCTTATAAGCATACAAAAAATGTGTACAAAGTAAACTACAGGCATAACCAATTACTGTGATGTTCACAGTATAATGAATTTGGATCAATATAATGATTAGCAACTCATAAGAAAACCACTAAAACGATAATGATAATTTTAAAAAATTTCGTTATTATACAAAAATTTTCCTCACCATTACATATCTGCTGTCTTTCCTCCTGTTTCATACCATAAGAGAGAACTGTAACAAAATTCAGTATTTACTTTATAAGAGGAAATTATTTAATCTGTCTCTGTTTAGACTGTCAGAAATCATACCACAAAAAAATTTCTTACTTTCTTCTTCAATTTCGTTTTTTCTAGTTATCGTAGAACCTAGATACCTAAACTTATCTACCTGTTCAAACATATTACCATCTATATCGATATCACCAGTAGTATTGCCATTTTTGCAGCTAACCATATATTTTGTTTTATCCACGTTTATTTCGAGTCCTAGTTCTTTACCGGCTTTCATTAACGTTGTCGTATTTAGTTTTATAGTTTCAAGGTCTTCGCTTAACAGTACCAGATCATCAGCATAGCCCAGCACGGATGTTGTCCCACCCAGATCCAACCCTTTCTCGGTTCGCATTACCTCCCTAATGGCATGCTCTAATGCCAAATTGAACAGGACAGGCGAAAGGGAATCCCCCTGTTTTAAACCCGACCGAATCTCAAATTTTTCGGACAGATTATTACCGATTCTAACTTTATTGAGTGTCTCCGTCAAGCACATCCTGACTAGATTTACTAATTTTTTAGGAATCCCCTGCTCGATTAGAATATTATACAGTTTCTGGCGGTCAATAGAATCGTAAGCCTTTTTAAAATCTATATACAGCTGGTGAACAATACCGTTGTACTCCAATTTTTTCTCTAATATTTGCCGTAAAGAAAATATTTGATCAATAGTCGAATGATTCCGTCTAAATCCGCATTGGGAGTCTCCGATAATTTCCTCGGCGTATTCCGTGATTCGACTGGTTAAGATTAAAGTAAATATTTTATAACATACCGGAAGGAGTGAAATTCCTCGATAGTTATTACAATCCGTTCTCGGACCCTTTTTGTGAATCGGAATAAGAATAGATTCTTTCCATTCCTCAGGTAATTTCTCGTTCACTCAGATCTTTTTAACCAACCGATGAATTTTAGAAACTCCAGCTTCCCCGCAAGCCTTAATTAGTTCAGTAGGAATATTGTCGGTTCCCGCTGCTTTATAAGATTTTAATTTTCCGATAGCTAATTCAACTTCCTCTTTACTCGGTCCTTCTATCAACGGTTCAGCACTCTGGTACTCAGAAGGAGGACACATATCATAATTTCCCGTATTTAAAATATTGTCAAAGTGGTCCTTAAACTTATTCAATATGTCAACCGGATCGGTCAGAATATTGTTATTATCATCCCTAATTCCAGATGTTACGGACCCTACACATTTACGTGATCTGTTTATACCTTTGTACATGTCTCTTACGTTATTTTCGATTCTATTAGTTTCTATTTCAATTATTTTATTTTTAAGATACTCCGTTTTTTTATTTTTGAGCAATTTTGTCGTTTCATTCTTTGAGGTTCGGAAGTATTCCAGATTTTCTTAGCTAGGATTATTTAGAGCTTTTAATTTAGCGGCTTATCGTTTTTCGCACATCAATATATATATATATATATATATATATATTATATATATATATATATATATATATATATATATATATATATACATATATATATATATAAATCGACAAAGAGTGGCTGTATAATTATATACAGTAATATAAATGGTTAATAATAAAAATATATCTGAATAAGGTTAATAGGTAGGAATGAAATACACAGATCTCAAGAGCAATAAAGAAACAACAATGGTAGGCATTTTAAAATTTTCTTTTAGGAACTTTGTTCATACAGTTGTCAATAGATGGCATTGTTATTCAATCTAGAAAAAAATTGGTACCTTTAAATCAACAAGGAAGCTTATTATTTATATTTAAAGTCCAATCTGTTCAACACTGGGTCCCTTGTCCATAACTGGTGTGTTCACCCTAATTAGAATCAATAAAAATGATAGATGTTCGACATGCTCAATGACATACTAAAATGTAGCAAATATGATACCTCTTAATTCAAAACAATACCGTTTTCCTCCAAGGGCTGGCAGATCTAAATAGGGATATAATTCAGCAGTAGTGCAAATTTATAGAAGAATCTTTTTTTTTTTTTTTTTTTATTTCTTAATGACATTTACAACTGTATTACATAAATACATCCAGTAAATTTGGATATAATAGATATAATGACATGAATACACTTGCTGAGTAACTACCCAATGGTAGCACTCTAATGATATGACTACATTAGGAGATCACGGGCCCATCTTCTTTTCAGACGCCTCGGAGGGTTATCAGGAACTGAAGAGGAAGCAAGGTTAGAAACGAGAGGGTTGGAATGATTCTGAAGTTTATTATGGAAGGATAGGTATCTGGATTGGGCCAGATCTGAAACATAAGGAACATTAAGATCTTTATGGATAATTTTATTAGTGACAAAGTAAGGAGCATTGAGGATTTTACGAAAGATTTTGAACTGTAAGGATTGGATGCGAGAGGAATTCGATGGTTTAGTGGAGCCCCATAGCTCAACTCCGTAAGTCCAAATAGGTCTTATTATAGTCCAGTATATGAGTCTTTTGTAATTAATGGGAAGTTTAGAGCGTTTGTCTAGTAAGTGCTGAAGTAATCGGAAACGTCGAGCGGTTTCTTGTCGTTTCAGTCTAGTATGAGGATTCTAAGTTAGTCGCTTGTCCAGGTGGAGTCCTAGGTATCGGATTTGCTCAACAGGGATAAGTGGAGTATTGTTAAAGGAAACTGTAGGACAGGCAATCGTTGGTTTACCACAAAGGGTAAAGGTAATTTGATGGGATTTATTGGAGTTTATTTTAATTCTCCAGTTTTGACACCATTCTTCAAGATTTATGATGTGTGATTGAAGCATTGGGGATGCAATTGATAGATCATTATTTACTGATAGGATACATGTGTCATTGGCATATGTGGTGATGACAGTGTTGGGATAGGTAGGGATGTAAGCTGTATAAACTGTATAGAGGATAGGACCTAGGATACTATCTTGAGAAACACCAGCGGACTGGGAAAAAAGGGATGAATAGGCGTTTTTGTGATTTACTTTAAAGTAACTATCAGTAAGGTAGGAACGGATAATGAGGAAGTATGTAGGTGGTAGGAATTTTTGGAGTTTGTACAGCAGTCCCGGGTGCCAAACGCCTGTTCAACGTCGAGAAAGACCCCCGTACGGTACATTCCGCACTCCAATGCAGAGGAGACTACGTTTACCACACGATGACATTGCTGTATAGTGGAATGGGAAGTGCGGAAACCAATTGGTGATCTGGGATTATGATAGAAGAATCTAAAATAGACTTTAAAAAAAAAAAAAAAAATTATATTCATACCATCATTCTTTTAAAATGGAACTCTTGAGTCAACAAATAAAAAACATAAAAAATATTTGCTTTAAGAGCATAATAATAAAACAACCCTAATTACATATCACAATATAAAAATGAATACATACAAGTAGACTCATATTCCTCAGTCATTTCTTCTTTTGTAGAAACACTTAACTTATTTATACCTGAAAAAAAAAAGAAATGAGATATTACAAATTTATGTATAATAAATGCAATCAAATATATACATACAAGTAGACTCATGTTGATCAGTCATTTCTTCTTTAGTAGAAACACTTAATTTATTTATACCTGAAAAAATAGAAATGGCACATTACAAATTTATGTCTAATATATGCATACAAATATCTGTATAATATATACATACAAGTAGGCTCATGTTCATCAGTCATTTCTTTTTTTGTAGAAACATTCAGCTTATATGTACCTGAAAAATAGAAAAAAGGCATTACAAATATATACCTAAAGGCATAAAAGTGGTAAATGAACATTTCTTCTGTTTAAAACTTAATTAAACACCAGAAGTTTTCAAGGATAGTATATTATAAGTAGAAATTAAGTTAATAAAAAATATAAATTAATTATTTATACCAGAGAAAAGTAACATAAAAATAAGTTTCTAGTCATATCTTTTAGGTTTGGTGCCATTTTTTAAAGTTTTTTTATAATATATTAGGCCAAAGGACACCAAATGTACACAGTTTTTACATCATGTTTTATTTATTCGACATTTCGGCTTCTGGAGCCATTTTCAAGATCCTGCAAACTAATTTTAATTCAGTTGTTATACTCCAAACTACATCTTTACAAAACATATAACATATCTGAATAAGGTTAATAGGTAGGAATGAAATACACTGATCTCAAGAGCAATAAAGAAACAACAATGGTAGGCATTTTAAAATTTTCTTTTGGGAACTTTGTTCATACAGTTGTCAATAGATGGCATTGTTATTCAATCTAGAAAAAAATTGGTACCTTTAAATCAACAAGGAAGCTTATTATTTATATTTAAAGTCCAATCTGTTGTTTTTTAAGCAGAATTTGGACTATTTATATAACTGATTGTTGTTGAATTAATATGTGTTTTATAATGATGTAGTTTGGAGTATAACAACTGAATTAAAATTAGTTTACAGGATGTTGAAAATGGCTTCTGAAGCCAACTCATCAAATAAATAATACATGATGTAAAACCTGTGTACATTTGTGACCTTTGGTCTAATATTTTATAATAAAAAACAAAACACTAAAGCATAACATTAGTCAATGCATAGTTTTTTCATCTAAACTTTACCCTTAATATCATTGGTCAAAAATAAAAACTATGAAAGTTGAAAATGAACCTCCATATGTCATTTGTGTGACTTGAGTTCTGTTAATGTAATTTTTTGTTGTTTCTGATAACCATAGGAAACGTTAAACCCCGTCTTCTTAAAATTAAGAATTTGCACCTTTAGTGTATTTTGCCTTTAAACAATTGTTATAATTACCCACACTTCATATATTATTAATATTAAAAAAATTAAAGATAATTAATATTTACAAAAATTTGATCGATTCAGAGCACAAAGAAGTTTTTATTAATAGAAATATAGGCGATGAATAAGGATTTAAACATAGAAACTGTGGGAGTATTGTGCGAAAGTGTTGGAATATAGTTCCATTAGTAGTTGGTACAACAGCAAAATGATTTGTCAAATACAGCAGTTTCATGGAAAGTGATATAACGATTAGAAAAGAAGAAACATATATTCCAAGAATTATTGAAGCAAGTTAGTCAAATGTTCTACACATCATGGGTGATAAATATTCAGGATGCAGTCGTTATTAAGTTTTTATTGGTGCCGACGTTTCAACCCAAACATGTGGTTCATCAAGACTGAAAATTTTTTAATACAATCATAGATATAATATTATATGACAGATAATGGTTAATAATAAAAAAAAAATAGTGATTGATGATAAGTGAAATATATAAAAAGTTATACAAACTAAAAATAATGTATATGATCAATTTATAAAAGATGTAATATTTTCTCTTACTAACTAGGTTTGGAGCACTGAAGATATTCAAGTACTGACACTTTGGCAGGTAAGGAAAAGATTCGGTGCAGGATTTTCCAGATGTGCTTTTAAGATAGCAAAATGTAGTTAAACATAATCAGAAGGGGGAGGTGGGTAACAATTCAGTTTGTAAAATGCAAATAATATGCTGACTAAATTATTCAAGATGTATACAAGATTTGAGTTGTTTCTTATAGTTAAAAAACTGTGACTATTGGCTAGTAACGAAATGAACAAAAGTTAGAGATGCCAATCAATATAAACATAACATAGTTTGATTGAAGGTATACAATAGTTAGCCAAATAATGTTTATAATATAGAAAATTGTAATGGATTGAAATGATAATTAGGGCAATATATTATACAATATTTAGGGCATAACAATATGGATCATAAAACAATCTATTTATCAAGGATTAAATAGTTCCAATTGTAAAAGTATAAACATATCTGGGCCTGTTTATAGTATATATTTATATTGAGAATAGACGTTATATGTATATATGTATACATATATATATATATATATATATATATATATATATATATATATATATATAAAATAAACGTAGGAGTAATAAGTTGACGGAGAAAATAAAAAACAATTTTTAATTATTACAGACTATTGTTTTAGGAGGCGGAGAATGTTCGAATGTGTATTGCTGTTCTTTTCTTTGTCTACTTAGTGGTTTACCGGATCATTTTTTCCAAATTAATGAGTATAGCTTCTAAAAGTAGTTGTTTTTAGTGATTGGGGACTGTGGCAAATATGGTGGGTTTGTGGTTAAGGGTTATGGCGTGTTCGTTTGTTTCGAGGCGAGCGGGTTTCGTGTGGAGATGCTGTATTTGTGTTGATATATTCGTTTTTTAAAATAATTTTTTGGTTCTCCGATATAAGAATTACGGTTTGGGCTAGAGTATCTGATATGTAGGAGCAGAATAGGATCTTTGAGTTTGGTGAATAAATTTCTAAATTTACTGTTATTTTTTAAAGCTATTTGGGGGAATTTGGAAGTTAAACGTTTTTGATTTTTTGAGAGACGACCAGAATGTATGGAATGGATCTGTATTGGTAAATCATGGTGGGAGATTGAGAGCATTTGTGGGAGACTGGTGAAGATGAGGTTTGGATTGATTTTTAATTAGGTTTTTTATTATGTGATCAGGAAAGGCGTTGGATTTCAGGATCTTGTGTAGTTAAGTTGTTATTGTCATCGAATCGCGTGTATCAGGTTTTTGATTTTTTGGTGGTTAGGATGTTGAGAAAAATAGTTTAGGGGACAGCCGGAGTAGGTAGGTTTGGTGTACCAATTGGTGGATAAGGTATTATCATTATTTCTGGGAATGAGGAGACCGAGAAATGGGAGGGAATTATTTGATTCTATTTGAATGGTAAAACGGAGTCGAAGGTGGTATGAGTTGAATGCAGAAAGTATGTTTGGAATAGCGTGTGGATTAACCATTATCTGTCATATAATATTAAATTTGATCGTATTAAAAAAGTTTCAGCCCTGATGATGACCCTCATGTTTGGGTTGAAACATCAGCACCAATAAAAACTTTATAATGACTGCGTCCTGAATATTTATCACCCATATTTCAAGAGTTAGTTTTAATTTTAAATTCAGAGATCTGGAAGATATAGGAAGTGCAGTAAGATTTGAATAGAAAGTAGGTGAAAGAAGCAAGAAAGTACTCGCAGCTGTCAGGGAAAAGCCACTGTAATATTCAGGGTGTCAACAAGAATATGTCACTCGTAAAAATAAGTCCTAAAAGGAATGAATCGATCATCATGAAATCCAGAAGATCGAAAATAAGAAAAATAGACTAAACGGATTGAATGATATGCCAAATCATGTAGGTGGATTGTAAATGAAAAGAAAAAAACTCTCTAAAATTAATACTTTTTTTTCTATAAGCAATAACTCTTTTGTAATCTCTCTGTATCTCAAGATGTCTTTCATTTCACTTTCTGTAAACACCCTGAATACTAATCAAAGTGCATCAAAAGAACATAAATAAACTAAATGTTTAGAAAGCAATAATAACAAAAAGATTTATTTTCATCAGTCATCTCTACTAGACAAAAACTACACCCCAAAAAATAAACAAGACACATAACTAAATATATGATTTATGACATAACAATTAATATAAAATTTCAACCATCAAATTTTTCAAATATGGAATACATCAGCCAAAATGTAATTAATATTTAACAATATGAATATCAATATTGATTGATCCTACCCATACTGATTTCATTACATTATTAAATAATTTATCACAACCAATTTCAATCACGAAAACTCAAAATTACTTATTATTATATCAGTAACTTATTAATTATTTTTTAAAAAATTGAGAATAGTAAATAAGAATTTCAGCAAAAAAAAAAAAAATAACTAAGTCTTGATTATTTATTCCATGATATAAATCACTGACAATCAGCTACTATCATTGAGTTTTTTCAGTCCTACTTTGTCCATTCTTTGTGGACCTCTTGGACAGATCTTAGACAAGGAAGTTATGTTCAATAGAAAAAAATCAAGCCTCCTGCCTCATAAAAATTTCCGGCAGAGATCTCCGCAAATATACTATCATACATAATGATTTCTTTTATATTCTTTTAATTGCGTGCACTACTTTCTAAATCGACAACAATCATAGAATAATAAAATGTTGTATGCATGCTTAAAAGGTTCTCCCTTAAGTTGCTTATTAAAAAAAATCATAGAGCTACTTTGAGGTACTATGTTAGTACACAATAGGCAGTGGTACTTTTGAAAAGTTATTCAAAAAAATGATACATTAGAATAATGTGTATTTAATTCATTTAAGGCAAATTATAACTCTAATATAAGCCCAATTACTGTTTATTTTTCATTTAACAAAACTTTTTTTAAAGAACTTGAATAAATAAAAGTTTAACTCCCACCATAAATCTGGAAGTTTTTTGTACTGCCTTATATTCGCAATAAGGACGTTGAAGAGGCTTTTCATTTGAATGGCGGGCCAATACACATCTTTTCAATTTTGTAATCGCTAACTTATGATCACATTGAGGACACTGATGAGGCTTTTCAATATTATGATGGACCATTAAATGCCATTTTAATGTACTACCATATACTATTCTATATTCACAATAAGGACATTGGTGAGGCTTTTCACCAGGGTGGCAGGCCATAATATGTTTTTTCAAACACCTAACAGCTACTAATTTATATTCACAATAACAACAATGATAAGGATTTTCACCAGTATGGTGAGCCATTATATGTTTTTTTAAATTGGAACCTTTTATTGATTTATAATCACAATGAGGACACTTATGAGGGATTTTATCTGCATGGAGG